ACTCAAGCAAAAACCAACGAAGAAGAAACAAGTTGTAATAATTTTCGACACAGCAAGTTTTCCCAAGCTAGTGTGTTTGAAGCTTCATACAAATGTGCATATAGACACAATGGTGTCACCATCAAAGTGATAGATACTGGAGTCACTGAATAATCATTGCATATGAGATTATGCTGATTGAAATGAACCTTGTTCATGGAGGTGAGTGACAGAAGGGTGAAGCAGGCAGATGCCTTTGTTTCTAAGGGCCTCTATAAAACTGTCACTAACTCTTTGTCTTAAAGTTTCTTGACACATGAACTAATCCTTAACTTTCCATGGCTTGAATTTGAACCAAAACATACAGATGTAATCAATCCAGCCTAGAGTTCCCCAGTGGAGCGAGTGCTGGCCTGTGGACTGAGTCATGTACGTAACCTATAGGAACTCAAAGTATATCCTTTAGAATCAGAAAAATGTGGCAGAGAAGGGATATGTGTTTGATTTTTAAGTAATCTAATTGTGTTATTAATTTAAAATCCTCATACTGAGTTAATTCATTTATGCACTAGGAATCCATATGAAAAAGTCTTTCTTATGCTTTAGTGTTTTCTAAGAGGAAATTATTAATAAGTTTGTCTTGATTATAGTATTACCATTAATGGGCTGATGGAGAATAGGAATAAAAAATGTTTATACTGAGATGAAGCTCAAATACTCTCTATTTTATATGGTGGTTAACCAGTTAATGTATTACCTCGTCTGTTTTTTTACGTGTGAATTATTTGTGCCACCATATAGGTTAACTTTCTGATGTCGCCATGGCATTTGTAAACAGTCATGGTGCTGGTGGGAGTGTCTTTTAGCATGCTAATGCATTATAATTAGCATATGATGAGCTAATTATGAGTGAGGACAACCAGAGGTCACTCTCATCACCATCTTGGTTTTGGTGGGTTTGGGCCAGCTTCTTTACTGCAAGCTGTTTTATCAGCAGGGTCTTTATGATCTGTATCTTGTGCTGACCTCCTATCTCATCCTGTGACTTAGAATGCCAAGCCATGTGGGAATGCAGCCGAGCAGGTCTTAGCCTTATTTACCCAGTCCTTATTCAAGATGGAGTTGCTCTGGTTCAAATGCCTCTGACAAGCCCAAGTTCAGTGTTACTCTCTCCCAGAGCTTCCAGTCTCTGTTTTTATCACCCTGCTGGAGTGTGCTCAGCTTGACCTTCCCTGCTGGATGGCTAGCTCCATGCAGGCAGAGTGTGGGAGGCTGCACAAAGCCATGGGTCTAGCATCATGCCCAGCTCACAGGAAGTGCCTATGTTTTGAAAGAAAGAATGAACAAAGGGCTGCTTTCCAGTGCCAAGGGATTCTGTCACACATATCTTGTGCTTAGCTGCTTTTGCTTTTATTGAGATGAAGGTTAATTGGTACATTTGTTAAAAATGAGGTAATTGTTTTAAAAGGTAGTCAAAAGGAAAGATGACTATTGGAGCCTCTGTGAATAATTTAAATAGCAAACCTACCTTCAGAGCTCATTAAGATCACCCCTCATGGAAGCCATTATTCCCTGCTGTGAAAAACTATGACTCAGCTTGCACTCTGTTTAAAATTAGTTGGAAAATTTTTTTTTTTTTTTGCTGTCATTGTATTTCTGTTGGAATACTGTGACTTTTATTGCATATCCTGTGATTAAGCTTAACTTCCCGTGCATGCCATGAAGAAACTATTTCTGTAAGTTTAGTCACAAGATAATGGTGTACATTCACATTTCACATTTCTCTTAATTGCATGCCTTCTACTTGATGGAGTACCACGATGATTCAACATTCAACCACTTTTTAAAAATTATTGCTGTCTTCTATTTTATTTGGTGATGAATATTTCCTGTTAGTTTCCAGCAGATTGCATTTCACATTACATACATGCCAACTCAAGGCAGTTTCTAAGATTTCATTCAGAGATGAGTAATTCTCGTGAATAAAGAGCCAGGAATGAACTGAAATGACCATATTTTCATGTACAATAGTTTCTTGAAAGACCTTAAAGAGCTCTTTGTAGCAGGTTATTATTATGTGTATGTCATTGGTCTACTTCAAACATGACGATTTGTAAAAATAGATTTTTAAGGATTCAGGATAATTTTTCAAAAAGTGACAATTAGTATGTATTGGCATTTTATGTAGTTACTGACAATGTAGAAATTACTTTTATTTCATAAACCAAATATTCAACTTTCATGTAATATATTTCAAGGAATCTATTTTAATAAATGAAATTGTATTCTAGTAGCTACAATGAATTCAGGTTTATCTCTTTTGAAACCATGATTTAGAAACAGAAAAAAGGGAAGAAAATTGTTCAATTTATATTTCACAAGCTGTTGGTAATTTTTTTTTGTTGTTAATTCTTTTGATTGCTATCATTAGATGTATGAAAGAGAAAAAGGGGTTTAATAAATGGAATTGTAGCATGAGATATTCACTCATCTTTTGCTGACCTTTGGAAAGTTAATAAGATTTGTACATGTGAAGTTTGAGTACCATAATGGAAACGTGAGGTTTGAGTAGCATAGTGGAAACTTTATTTTTATTTTTTATTGTTTTTTTGAGACAGAATTTTACTGTTGTCACCCAGGCTGGAGTGCACTGGCGCGATCTCAGCTCACTACAACCTCTGCCTCCCCTGTTTAAGCGATTCTCCTACCTCAACCTTTTGAGTAGCTGGGATTACAGGTGTGTGCCACCATGCCCAGCTAATTTTTGTTTTTAGTAGAGACAGGGTTTCACCATATTGGCCAGGCTGGTCTCAAACTCCTGACTTCAGTTGATCTGCCCACCTCGGCCTCCCAAACTGCTGGGATTATGGGTGGGAGCCACAATGCCTGGTCTGGAAACCTTATAAATATAGCTTGTTGGAGACCCCAAGGAATCTCAGAAATTGGCATTTTAGTTCAATCCTTTTATTTTACAGAATTGTGTAGAATTGTGGTTAATAGATGGATTTTGGAGTTCATAGAAACCTGAGTTCAAATCCTAATTTACTAGACATGTAATTTGGGTAAACTATTTTATCTCATTTAGAATCACTTTTTTCACTTGTGAAATGGGGTCAGTGATACTTATCCTGAAAGATTGTTGTTATTAACTGAGACAATATAGTCATACTGTCTATGACATAGTTCAGTATTCAATAAATGAAAATGATAACATTAAGTAATACCTGTAAGGGGATATACAGCACCAAAAGACTAACTGAATTAATCAAGTTACAGAAGCAGCCCATTGGCACTTCCAGTGGGGGACCTGAGCTCTAACCCTCCTTTTTAATTTTTGTAATATAATGAGATGTTTGGCAAGTGGTTTCATTTTGTCTCAATTTTATTAGTGTTAAAATAAGTAGAGACAGCTGGGTGTGGTGGCTCATACCTGCAATAATAGCATTTTGGGAGGCCAAGGCGGGTGGATCATCTGAGGTCAGGAGTTTAAGACCAGCTTGGCCAATATAGTGAAACCCCATCTCTACTAAGAATACAAAAATACAAAAATTAGCCTGGCAAGGTGGCGTGTGCCTGTAATCCCAGCTACCTGGTAGGCTGAGGCAGGAGAATCACTGGTACCCAGAAGGTGGAGGCTGCAGTGAGCTGAGATCATGCCTCTGTACTTCAGCCTGGGTGACAGAGCCAGACTTTGTCTCAAAAACAAACAAACAAAAAAGTAGAGGCTACTTTATTTCCCCTTCTTTCTTTTGCAAGGACGTGCTATACATAGAGTTAGAGCTAGACTGGAAATGATACCTGTAAGGCAGTTTAGACTAGTTTTTTGCCTTTTCAGTTATATGAACGATATATATGTAGAATGATTAAACATTTATCAAAGTCTTCTTGGAGGGAAACATTTAAAGAAAAAGGCTGAATAAAAATGGAAAGCTAGCATTGTGTAGCCGAGTGACCGTCAATGGCTTTGGTGACCCACAAGGGGAATAATACGATATTGCTTAAAACAAAAGTGTGCAGAATTCTTAGAGCATTACCTGCTTCAGGACCTCATGTAGATCTACTTTTACTTTTCACTCCGTTCCATCCCGTCCTTTGTGGGACCTACATGTGAACTTAAAGGGTATTAAGGATTCAAAAAGAAAACCAACATGAAAAGTGAAAAAAAGTTGACATTCTGCATAATTGATTCTCTTTGATGAAGAAGCCATTTGCCTTAGGATGAGTCGTGATTTTGCCATTTACAAGCTGAGTGTACTTAAGTCAGTCAATTGCCTTCTCTGAGGCTCTTTGGATTGGATTTAAGGAGCCTCAGATAATAGTTTAGCTCAGGAGGCAAGGATCAAATGAGGTATAAGAAGTTTTGTACATTCTGAAATGCTTTTGAAGTAGAATGGAGTCATGGTTTTGAAACTATATTTAACATTATATTTTATTTACCTTTCAAAAATTTTTCTTAATTTGGCCATTAGGAAAAAAACCCAACAACTCTTTTTGGGTGGTCCTGGTTATTAAAAAGATGTTGACCAGCTGTTCCTGAACTTAAGATAAAAGATTAAGAAAGATGAAGGAGGTTTATAGTAGAACACAAATGATTTAGATTAGGTATAAATATGTCTAATCGCAGTTTTGGTTTGTTTGAAGCTGTAGTGTTTTTCTCAGGCATATTATAAAATTTTCTTTAGGTGCTTTCAAAAAGTAAAAATGGATTTTTTAAATCTGTCTCTACTGGGTTAGGTAGAGTCCTGCTGAAGATATAAAGATGATTAATATTATCTCTAATGTTTGCTTCTGACCCAAAAGTTGTATAACCATTTCATAAGTCAGTCTGGAAATAGAATATAGAATTTGAACTCCTTGTAAAAGTAATAATTGTAATTTTAAAAGGTCCTACAGTATTTCACAGTAACTAAATTGAAGAGATAAGCTGAAATAAAAGTCATTGCTTTAAAAAATCTTTTTTTTTTTTTTAAAGGCTCATTTTATTTTAATGACTGATCTATGTAATCACAGAGGCCAGTATGTACAAACAAAGCGGGAGCTTTTATTTCTTGGTCTCTTCCTCCTTGGACAAAGTCTTGATGATTTCCTCCTTTTTGGCCTGAAGGCGCTCTTCACGGCGCTTGTGTGCTTCCTTGGTTTTAGACCTACGGGCCTCTGCCTGGTCAACCAGGAGCTTCTTGCCGGCCTTGTCTGCCTTCAGCTTGTGGATGTGTTCCATGAGAATCCACTTGTTTTTGAACACATTCCCCTTCGCCTTCAGGTACACGTTGTGATACATGTGGCAATCAATGTTCTTAGATTCCCGCTATCTTCTGAGCAGCCGGCGCAGAATCCTCATTCTCCTCATCCACGTGACCTTCTCTGGCATTTGGGCGTTGGCTGTACCCTTATGCTTACCTATGTCCATGTGCCTGTCCTTCCGGCGGGCCAAGGTGTTTTTCCGGCAGCGAGCCAGGGAATGGACCGTCACAGGCTTGCGGATGATCAGCCCATCTTTGATCAGCTTCCGGATCTGCTGATGCGAGTTAACATTGGCGATTTCATTGGTCTCATTCGTGTCCACCCAGACCTTCTTGCCACAGTGGAGGACACTAGAGGCGAGCCTCTTCTGAAGCCTGAGCATCCTCATGGCTGTGGCCCAGCAGCAAAAGGAAAGAGCTCCAAAAATCTTTGTAAGAAAAACACTAACTTCCTATAGCTGTCAGTTTCAAAGTAAGCTATAGTAAGGTTCTTAATTTTATTTCTGAAAAATAAAAATTCTTTACATCAACTTGTCATATATAGGAAGATGGCTTGAGTTGGAGTTTTCAGTGTGTATGAATTCTACATTATCTATTGTTGACCTTTTTGTATTAGAAAATGAAGCTGCTGACAGTGATTGTACATATATGCACACAAGCGGCAGGGGAAGACTACTGCAGTTCTACAAAAGGCTTTCTTCTATATCTTACAAGAAAATTCTGCCCTTTGATTTTTCTTTTATTACTACTACTGCTGCTGCTGCTCCTACTACTGTAGCAGTTATGCCCCAGGCTTCGCTCTAGGTGCTTTAGACGTATTAGCCCATTTGAGTCTTATAACAACTTATTGAATATATACTATTACCGTCCCCATTTAACAGAGGAGAAAACATGTACAGAGAGAAGTCCTCCTAGGGAATTAGAGCTAGTAAGTGGCAAAACCAGCACCTTGTGTTGTTTGGTCCAGAACCTGAGCCCCTGCTACTCTGCAGGCCTGCCTACTACTAATCTACTACACTGGCGATTGCATATCATCCTCTCTGTGTTGCTTACTTCCCTAGTAGGAAAGCAGAAATTTTTACACAGTTGGAAATGATAAACAATTACATACAATCTGCTATTGCAGTTATAGAGTGGATTTCAATGAACTTTTCTTGACGTAAAATTTAATATCAGGAAGTTGATTTCATGTGAAATTTCAGTTGTGTGAAATATTGCCTACTCGATCAACTTTTATGAGCATATTAGAGAAAGGCAGTGACTTAACTCCCATACTCAACTCAGTTGCTGATATAGGTGTACATGTGTGAATTACCACATTGCAGTAATAGAGTGACTTGGTGAAGAAGTGGGTACAGGAGACAAAAGAGATACCAGTAAGTATGACTTGGACCTTCTTCAGTGCCAATTATTCAGAGAACTTTAATTCACTTGTAAATGTACCCTTGATAAACTTAAAATGACCAAGTATAATGTGAAGTTAGTATGATGTGTTAAAACTGTTTAGGACCGCAAGTAGACATCAGGAACTCTCACACGTATCTAGACATTCAGAATTTGTTTATGTCAGCAAAACAATTTTCAAGAAAACATGAGTATGCATCACTGTTAGAAATCATGAAAACTACGTATTTCTTCTAAAATGTTTTAATAGAAAAGGGTGTACAAACTTCAAATGACTTTAGTACATCTATATTCACAAACATACTTAGTGTAATTAAGTAAATGAATTCATCCAATATATCACTAGCTCTTGAACAGATTGAATTAAAGACTATGAATATAAGACAATACCATTTATAACAATAGTAATACTAGTAACAACTACAAAAACTGCCACACAACTTACATTTATTGTGAATCGGGAAAGTCCTTTAAACAAATTATGTTATTTAATCCTACAACAACCCTGTGAATTCGCTATTACTACTTCCAACTCCACAGATAGGAAAAAGAGAGCATTAATTATGTATAGTTACACAATTAACATGTGTCATTTATTCAATATTTACTGAATGTACCTACCACAAATCTACACTGTTCTAGGTAGTGAAGAATTAGCAATGAGTAAAACAATGTCCCTGCCTTCATAGAAGGACCCCGCCTTTTATGAGAGAGACAGACAACCAACAAATAAACATGGAAACATAATAAGTCAGCTGGTAATTAGGATTATGCAGAACAGTAAACCCCGGGACGGAGGCAAAAGAGTGCTAGCATAAACTACTGCAATAGGCATTGTCACTCTTTTATGCAGGGCAGTAAGGGGAGACCTCTCTGATAAGGTGACATTTTAGCAGATACCTGGAGGGAAAGAGAGATATTTGTAGGAAGAGTGTTCCTGGCCAAGGAGACAAAGAGATGCCTGTGTTTGGAATAGGAGAGGAGCATGATCTAAGAGGCCATGTATTTGGAGTGGGTGAGGAGGAGCATGGTTGGAGTTTGAACCCAGATTTATCTGACTCCAGAGTTTATAAACCACTACACCAATCTGATGGGGCAACCACAACGTTACCCAACCTACTGCGATCTTAGAGACGTATTAGCCAGATACATATTCTCATGAAAAAGAGAAGGGTAGTGACAATCTACTCTGAAAGTTCTGGGTTGCACTGAGACTCTGTGAGAAATCCCTGTGGTTTGTGGAGAGGTGTTTTTGAGACTAAAATTAGAGAACAATTATGGAGCATAAGTTTGGGAAATGGATTGTAACTCCCATGCTCAGAATTCTCTGCTGGTTCTTCGACTGCCTCCAGAGCTTTAGAGAAATTAAGTAACTTTCTGAAAGCCCCATAGCAAACAGACCTACTTTTGAATTATGATAAAGACTGTATTCATAACTACTGATCTGTGCTTTCCTTCTCAAAGTGAAATCAATCACATGCTCCTTGGCTTCCTGTCACCTACACATGAAAGTCGACATGACTTGGCAAGGAATGCAGAATCCCCAGAGTGTGGCTGCACCTTGTCTTATGCCCTCCTTCTACTGCCCCTCCCCGTGTACCTTGGCATGCAACAGAATAGTGCGCCTCAGGGTCATGTTCCTAGGATTTTGTACATTCTGAAATGTCCTTCTTTCTCTTGTTTCTCTTGTTTTGTGACCAATCTTGAATTTTATTTTTATTTTTTTTTAACTATTTGCCTTCCCAGGTTGAGTTTTAACTTCTTCTCAGGCTGCTTTTAGAGCTTATGTATCTTTTTACTTGCTCATCATTTCCAGTAGAAATCATTTCTTCAGTCCCTATCCTCCCTGCTGGGATTATACTTGCATAAAAACCTCTGAAAGCATTGACCATGGATTTTATAATCAAACCTTTTCAGTAATTTCTTTGCTTTTGTATCTGGCTTGTCTTCCAAACTATGCCATTCAAAGCTTTTTAAAAAATCTATATCACAACCAATTATAGGGTTTGGCATGTAGTTTACCTGCTTACTTAAATTAAACTGAAGAATATTAGATGCAGAATTATAATGGTGATAGATTTGATCAGATTCAAACAAGTGGAGTATGTTGAGCAGTAATATTAGTTCATTACGGAAAAATAGATGATAATAAAAACTACTGTTCAGTGAAAGAGTATGATGTGTCAGGCATTAAAACTCAGTGTAAAAATATATCATTCTGTTATTCCAGATCAAATTCAAACCTGGAAGTATATCTTATTAGGTATAACTTTAAAACTAAATTAAAATCTTAATAGATATAACTTTAAAACTAAATTGAATATGTATTTATTTTTGAACTATTACTAAGAGGATAGCAGGAGGTAAGCAAGGCTTTAAGTAGAGGAAAAAGCCTTCAGAAAGGGACAGAAGTCATCCTTGTTTCATGGTATTCGGTTTTTAAAACGTTACTACAAATGTGTATACTTGGCTACGTGGCAGAGATCTTCCGGAAAGAACACTGCTCTCATTTATAACTTGGACTTGGCATGTTGGGTGAGACAGAAGGCTATTGGGGAAGTGAGCCCAGATGAGACCTTGCATATAATACAGTGCTTCGTGCTGTTATCAACGGTTAATTGTAAAGGTTTTAGTAAGTACCATCCTTCCAGCCTAAGGACCAAAGTGGGATGCTTCAGGCCATGGTTATTTAGCATAATTCCTGATTTTCATTAATTAGGAAGCCTACTAATTAGGAAGTCTATTGAGTAATTTTTGAATGAAATGCTCATTGCTGATTGCTGTGTTTCTCAGGCAAGTATTTAATCTCAAATTGATATATTGCTTATTATCACTGGTAAATCATTTTGAGACAGGCGTTTAATTTTGGCTTACATAACATTTACGTGACTCTAGCGATGTCGAGTTGCACTCTGAAAGACTTAAGTGCAAAATCTTAAAAAAAAATTTAGCACATAGTTTTCCCACACTTTTCATGACACAGTATAGTTTTTCTTCCCTTTTTTGGCTTGATTTTATTGTTTCCTTAATTTCTCAATATTTTGTGCTGATTATGTGAATTAGACATTATTTAATCCTAATGCTTAGCCTCTCAGTAGGAAAGACGACATTAATGCTCGGAAAATACATTTTAAAAAGTATTTTGCTTTCAACCCCTTCCAGTATCCAGTAGAAATTTATTCTAAAGCTCTTTTTGTGGGTTTCTTGCAGTGACACCACAGCCAAAGCCCTGTGGGAAGCTTTACTGAACACCAAGCACAAAGAGGCAGTGATGGAGGTTCGGAGACATCTAGTGGAAGCGGCAAGCAGAGAGAACCTGCCAATCAAGATGAGTATGGGTAAGCCAAAACCTAGGATACAGGCAGCCTCTGGGGAAGCTTATTTAAACCTGTTCTGAATTGTGGGCCAACCTAGCCAACACGGAATCTAGGTCAAAGTATTAACGACTTTTGCATACTGTTGAAAGAATAGGGAACGAATGAATATGTGCACACTGCCCGTGGGCTCAGCAATGACCACTTTTCTTGGAGTTAGCTTTGGGAATTCTAGGAGAGATTTTGCTTACAAAGAATAATTACTTTAGTTTCTTGTTGATCTATTCTAGAACTATCAAAATTGGCCTGGACCATCTCTCCTTAATTATATTCTACCCCTACTCCCTTTTTTTTCCCATTCTGTCCCCATTCCCCCACTTATGGTGGGTGAAAATTCTTTTATTACTTTAGAATTAATGAATGAAATTGTACTGAGAAAACAATTGAGCAGGCAGACATGCTCTGGCCTGATCCCTCATCCTTACAGTGCTAATTGTCAAGTCGCATAGTGCTATTTCTTTTTCA